GTAGTCATGTGTCCTGCTTTAGAGAGGACTTTTTGAAGGTGTCCCCTGTTTGAACAGTTGTCTGGTCCAAGTCCAATTTAATGATAAAGAACTCTAAGACAAGAGAGCAGGGACATCAACTGTTAGAACCTGGACAGCAGGCACATAGGTCATATAGTCAGGCTTCACTATGTATGCAATTCTGTGATTCATAATTCATGGACACCATTTCTAGACTGCCCATTGACCACAGTCTGCAGGGACTTCCTAATTAAAATCATACAGTATTTCTACTTAAATTGCAGTAATCAGGTTGTATTCAACTAACTTTTACTAGACCCACTGAAATAAATGGACCTAGGTCAGTCATGGTAATTAATTTCAGTGGGTCTTCTCAGAGTAAAAGTTAGTTGAATACAACCCATCACTTCTAAATTTCACACAGATCCACACCCTCTTTTGTCCACTTTTTTTCTTGGCTCATAGCTCCTCTTTGGGCAATGCATTAGTGGCCATCAGAAAACCAGCTCTTGAGAAACCACAAAGCATGTTTCTCCAAAACTGTAGCATTCTCTAGATGCTGGGATCTCGCAGCCTGTCTCTGCACAAAAGATACTCCTCTTTGTGTCTACCAGCTTATTCGCTGACTGTACCAACCTGTGGTTGCAATGACTTTCAACTCAATGTACACCTTATACTGAGTCAGACCATTGGCCTAGCTCAATGTTGTCTACAATGACTGGCAGAAACTCTCCAGAGTTTCAGAGAAAGAATCTATCCCAATCTCATTGCAGCTACCTCATATCCTTGTAACAAGCTATGCTGGGAACTTACACATGCCAAGCATGTTCTCTGCCACTGAGTTATGGACCTGCCGTCCCTGTATCCTTCTTACTATCTGGAGTTCTATCTCCAGTTTTGGATGCAGCACTTTAATAAGGATGTAGATAAATTGGAATGTGTTCAGGAGAAAGCAACAAAGATGGTCAGGGTTACAGAAAACAAGTCCTATGAGGAAAGTTTAAACAGTGTATTTAACCTGGAGAAAAGACGACGGGGTTGGGCAAGCTGGGGACACGACAACACTCTTTGAATCAGTTGTGTGTGGTGAATTTTTTCATAGGGGAACAGTGAGGGCCAGAGGCACCAGCTTGCAAGTTCAATGGGGGTGGGACATTGCAGACGTGATGTCCTAGCGTCCCGCATGTGAGCATTGCGCCTCCCTCCCTAAGCTGGGCAGAAGCTTTCCTGGCTTTGGGAAAGAGGTGCCAGGCTTTAATACTTGTTCTTGCTCACTTGAGGCCTTCAAGCAGAGACTGGACATTCATCTTAAGGGGATGCACTGGCCCTGGGTTTCCAGGGCTTGGACTAGGTGGTCCACCTGGTCTCTTCCAGCTCCATGATTCTTCTGTTCTCTGCTTGTCCATAAGTGGTGAAACATGGACCACTTATAATCACCATCTCCAACTCGTTGAAAGATTCCATCAACGGTGTCCAAAAAAAACTACACATCACTTGGGAAGACAGCTGAACTAATGCCAGTGTACTGGAAGAAGCAAAGATCACCAGTAACGAAGCAGTGATTCTTCAACATCAACTTCGTTGGACTGGTCATACTGTTCGTCTTCCAGAGCAACTACTCTATTCCAAACTTTAAAATGGAAAGTGTAATGCTGGTGCTCAACAAAAGAGGTTTAAAGACTCTCTCAAGACAAATCTTTAAAAATGTAGTATAAACACCGACAACTGGGAAACACTGACACTGCTCCAGTTGGAGAACAGCCTTTACCAAAGGTGTCATGGGCTTTGAAGACGCTCAAACTCAGGACAAAAGGGAGACACATGCTAAGAGGAAACCCTTGGCAAACCCTTACTGTGATCAACTGCCGCACGGAAACCAATGTCCCCACTGTGGATCCAGAACTGGCCTCCACAGTCACTTATGGACTCACTGTTAAAACCGTGTTTATGGAAAACAATCTTACTTGGCTACGAGTGATCACCAAAGAAGAAGCAGATGTATTTTTAGGACCCACCTTGTTTTTGTGACTGTATTCTTTGTAGTATTTTAATTTGTTTTTTTTAATGGCGTATTTTAAATTATAACTCACCCTGGGACCTTAGGGGGAAGGGCAGGTAACAAATGTGGAAGAAGACGATCTTACTCGGCTACAAGTGATCTCCAAAGAAGAAGAAGAATGTTCTCTGCTTGTTCCCAGCTCCAACAACTGACTCTCTGTCCTTCTCTCTCTCTTGTATTCCAAACTCTCTCCAATTTTCAGCCTCCTTCCTTCGCACCCGCCCACCCCAGGTTTCTCGGCCTAAGCGACAAGTGCAGCCTTTCCGAGTATAGCCATTACAGTCTCATACATTATATATGCTTTGGGCCTTTCCTAGGCCCTTGAGAATGATGGCCAGATATTTTTTGCCCGTGGTATAAAATGAATCTCAGACAGGCATGCCAAGCACTCTAGGAAAAGATTTACAAAGGCAATAAGCCTTAAAGGGAGGGGGAAGCATTTCTCAGGCGACAATTCCATTTTTAAAAAAGCCTTATGAAGGGTTCGTTATTGCACATTGAATGTAACATATATGATGGGCACCTTGGCTAAAGTATTACCAAACTGCCTATGTGATGTCTGCCAGTCAGATTTAAAGAAAGAGTTTTGCAGTTTTTTTCCTTAAAAAAAAAGTTTAGGGGTACTCTCATTTTCCTACACATATTGAAATACTGCCCCTCAATGAGGCCAAACTTAGATTCACAAAATGTTTAGGGGTATGCATATTAGGGGTATTACCCCCAGAAAAAAAGCACTGCAATTTTGTATGTTGCCGAACTCTCGAGATTGGCTCCTTTTTTCATACATTGAAGTGCAAGGTAATTTATCATTTAAGGAAAAGCTAGCATTCACCGTTAGAAGAAAAGTGATTTCTTACAGTAATGCTTCACAATAAAAAAAACCAACATGGACGAAGGCTCAGTGGTCATCCGCATAGTTCAAAAATTAGAACTGGCTCCAACCAATTAATCAACTAAAGATATTACAAGAATATTTATTTAAACAAGAACATATACTTCAATAACACAGAATACAAAGGATAGCAATACAGCTGAATTAAATTTATGCACACACAAAGTGTAGATGTGTGTTGTTTCATTCACATTCCCTGTAGGGGGGTTGTTATTATTGGCGTTAGGATATAGTAACATTTTTTAAAAAGAGAGATTTGTTTTATTTATTAACATCAGGATATTGTCCTTGTATCCTTATGATATTTTTGCTTAAAGCTGAATACTAAGAATTTCAAATTGTATCATATTTCACAGGAGGCATTTGAACATTGTTATCACTGATATGTAACATATTTTTTTGCCGCATTGTTTAAAATCATTCTTTCCTTGTCTGTCCTCTAGAGTACCTCAATTTCTGAGTTAATTTTTCAGCAGTAGCTATGGTCCAGATTTGCTTATGCCATAAATCCTTATTTAATCTCTCCAAATAGTTCCACTGTCTTGCCATAACTGGCCTGGCAGCTGACAGTAAATATTGAATCAGTTCTTTATCCAAAGCATATCCATTTTGCCCATGCCATCTCCCCAGTAATGCTAATGAATGGATTTGTATCAATTCTTGTTTTGTTGTTCAATTAATTTCTAGGAACACCACCTCCCCAAAAGCTGCTGCTGGCTGACTACCCCAATTGGAAATAATGTGGAGAAATGTACCAATGTGTTTCTGACAGGGCCATCTTTAAAGTTGGACATTCTTTTAAACCAAGTCACGACAACCCTGTTCACAATTTCTTCTAGACTTCACGCCCATTGAAATCAATAAGGCTTAAGTACGCATGGCTGTATTTGGAATCGCAGCCACAGTCATTAACTTCAATACAGAGAATGCATAAAAGTGAGTTAACAAATCAATGTTGTCTGACTCCTCTGTTAATTCAAAGAACTCTGAAAAAGCAATCTCTCCACTCATTTTTACCTAAGTGTAAGTGTTGTTAGTACAAGGAGACCTAAGCCAAAAGAGAGAGAGAGGATTCAATGCAATACAAATTTATCACACAGCTTCTCCCTAAGGATTCGTGCACTGAAAGCAGTGCATTTACACATACGCAAAGATCCACCATATATACACAGAAACTACTGCAGGGCTGAGCCACACATTCACTGAGGTTTTTTTAAAAAAATGTATTTATGTGATTCCACTTATGAATCACTTCCCATAAGACATCTTGAAGCAATTCCGCAATAAAAACAATTCCATATGTAATAACAATTTCAAATCCCATACAGGCACAATCTGGGATAGAGATCTACATTTAAAAGCCTTGTTGAAAAAGGAAAGTCTTCAACAGGCATGGAAAAGACAATAGGGATGGCACCTGTCTGATGTATTATGGGAGGACATTCTAAAAGGGTGGTGCTACCATACTAAACGGTTGGGACGCCGCGGGTGGCACTGTGGGTTAAACCACAGAGCCTAGGACTTGCCGATCGGAAGGTCGGCGGTTCGAATCCCCGCAACGGGGTGAGCTCCCGTTGTTCGGTCCCTGCTCCTGCCAACCTAGCAGTTTGAAAGCACGTCAAAGTGCAAGTAGATAAATAGGTACCGCTCTGGCGGGAAGGTAAACGGCGTTTCTGTGCGCTGTTCTGTTTCACCAGAAGCGGCTTAGTCATGCTGGCCACATGACCTGGAAGCTGTACGCCGGCTCCCTCAGCCAGTAAAGTGAGATGAGCGCCACAACCCCAGAGTCGGTCACGACTGGACCTAATGGTTAGGAGTCCCTTTACCTTTACCATACTAAACAGCCAATTCCTACATTATGCAGAATGGACCTCCTTATAAGAATGTATCTGAACCTGGTATATTAGGGGTGAGGTGATTTTTTAGGCACCTTCTGCTTACAGAACATTCATCCAAACAAGAGAATACGGTAATAGAATCACAGAATTGTAGAGTTGAAAGAGACCATGTTTTTTATCTAGTACAACCCCCTGCAATGCAGGAATCTTTTGCCCAACATTGGGCTCAAACACGACCTTGAGATTAAGAGTCTCATGCTCTACTGGCTGAGCCAGGGAGACTTCTATGGATCCTTCATGTGGAATGTCTACATACCCTCCAGAGTTGAAAGACAGCAGAACATATGCTTCACATATAGAATAGGGGGCCACCGACCTTTTGGGCCTGTGGGTGTATTTGCAAACTGCATAAGCTTGTGAGCACAGCATGGAAGCACACACACACACACACACACACACATGCCACAGCCATACACATGCATGCAACAGATACTCCCCACCTCGCCCTGCCAGCAGTTCAGCTTTACAAAAGTGTTTTTCTAATCAATTTTTTCATTGAAAGCTTTCAATATAGAAAACAATAAAAGCCAAACTAATTTTAAAAAACACATAAAAATAGGTAGAAAAAAGGAGGAGCAGGAGGTTTCAAGGACTGAAGATCCCTGTCTTCCCACTGCTCTCTAAGGCTCCTCCTATGATTCTTTCCCCAGCAACTTAAGGCTCTGTTCTCTTGTCTCTCATTGCTCCACTTTATTTTTCTGCATGTTCTGGGAGACCAGGGTGAAGGGGAGCTGGTTGCAGCAGGAGAGAGAGACTCCCTGGATTCTTCAGCAGCCTGTCTCACTTCTTTCTCCTGCCCTGCCTCTCCTCTCCTGCCTTTGAGTCTGGATTGCCCTCTGCCGCAGCATCTTCCTGCTCACTAAACCCTGTTGCCTCTTCTGCACCCGGCACTTCTGCTCCCTCTTCTCACTCTGAACACACATCATCATTCCACCACCAATCAGAGCCTTCTTCTCCTGGGGGTTCCCTTGAGGGTTCCATAGCTGCTGCCTCCCACCAATCCTCTGCATCCAGCCAGTCCATGATATTTAGGACTCAAGTGCAATGTTATGCCTATGCCTACTAGATGCATATTGACACCCTTCTATGGAAGCCCAGATAGCAGGCCCTACAAAAAACTCCAGGGCTAACTCTGTCACCAGATTTATTCAGGCAACATTACTACAGGACTGGATAACATCAGCCATGCCGCTGCCAATGGATCATTCACCTGAACACCCTCCAAAGTGATATATAGCACCACCTGTCAACAATGCCCTTCTGTTGTTTATCTAGGACAAACAGGTCAGTCTCTACTCAAGAGACTAAATGGACATAAATCTGACATTAAAGGGACAACATTCAGAAATGAGTGGGAGAATACTTCAGGCTCGCAGGACACTCTACAGTTAACCTCAAAGTCACCATGCTTTGCAAGAAGGCTTCAAAGAGGGACTCCAGCAGCAAAGCAGCAAGCTAGAATTTAGCTGCAAGTCCATTGAACTCAGACTTGATTGTTATTGCAAGGTATCTTTCTCACTAGACTAGAGGAAGTTTCAGCTTCCCAGGCAGATCCTTGCTGTAGTCACACATACGCACCTAAAATAACAGTGTGCTGCTTGTAAAAAGAATCAATCTTTTTTAAAAAGAAATAGTAGACACTTTTAAGTTATATATTCCTATAAATGTGCAAGAGCAAATTGAATAAAGGCATATTAAGTAATGTCTTGCATTCTTTGTTTTAGGGGTTGTTTTTAAAAGTCTAGAACGGATTAATCCATTTTGCATTACTTTCTATGGGAAAGCGTGCCTTGATTTTGGAACACTTTGGTTTTGGAATGGACTTCCGGAATGGGTTAAGTTTGAGAACCCCATCATCAATTTGCATCCCCATCATCAATTTGGGCTGAGTGGGGGTTTTTGTTTGTTACCATGCTGGTGTGGGCAGAAGGGTATCAACTTGCATGTTGTTCTGCTTCCACTGTCAATATGGGGTCAAGAGGGGCAGAAAATTTTGCTTGGAGGGCCAAAGGGTTAGATAGTCCTTCTTTAACAGGCAAGGGGAAGATTTCAGGAGGGTGGGGAAGAAATAAATAAACTCATCTGCAAGTACCAGCAGCATACACAGTTCATTTTCCAGACTGGGTAAAAACATGAACAGGAGCACTTGGGGTTACCGATACAGGAATCTTGAATGATTTTATTAGATTGTTAGTTATTTGATTTGTTTATTTCCCATGACATTCTTACAGTTCCTTCATTCCATACAGTTTTTGAATTGGGGGTTTACAAGTGGGTCCCCCAGAAGGAAATATTACATTGTGAGTTCAAAGCATCCAAATACCTAGGATTTCTGCATGAATCATTGCTCTGGGTACTTTCTACCTTTCAAACACCCTCTGCTGTGGATGGATCATTCTTTCCTGCCTTTGGGTGGTTGTACTTGACTCATTCAACTAACTTGACAGAGTTGCCTGTTCTCAGAGATGTTCTAGACTCATCTTTTCCTAGTCTGGAGGACGGACTCCTCTGTGTGTGGATCACTCTGCTGTGTCTCTGCATTGAAAGGAGTGAACGATTTAATCCTACCCTATTCAGAGACACAGTCACAAGAGTCCAACAAAGAGTCCTGCTAAAGTCTCTCTCTTTCCTTGCTGCACCTCACTTCTGGGATACCTAAAAAAACAACAACCCCACATTGGGTGATTTCATGTCTGTCTGTGGCAGCTGCTTATTTTGAGAACCCTTGGCTTTGCTAGTTCAAGATATGATGCAATGCAATAACAGCCTCTCTTTGCTTCATGTTGTTTACACAGGGTATGAAAAGACCCTTTGTTCCACTTCTCCAGTAGGTTGCCAATAGGGAGAAGAGAGGCGCTCACTGAATGACTGCACTGGCGCTTGGTGTGGACGTATTATCCATGCTTTGCAGCAGGGCTCTAGCCTCAGAAGTTGCTCAGAGAGCCAGAACTGCTGAAGACTGGCCCAAAGACCTAGAAGAGTTTTGGTTCTTAAGGCTTATTTGCATGATCCTGCAAAATGTGCCCTCTGCAAGCCTTTTTTGCACAGTTTTCCTGCAAGCCTCTTAACATTTTAGTAGCACCATATCTGGCGTCCATGAGATACGGATGACTAGGGCGAGGAGCAGCAACAATGCGTTGCAATTTTAAATAAGGCTGTTTCATTTATTTGTTTATTTACAGTGTGGGGGTGGGTGGGGACAACCTTGGGTGGCTTTAAAAGAGGACTGGACAAATCCATCAAGGAGAAGGCTATCCACAACTACTTGCCATGATGACTATGTTCTGATTCCACAGTCATAGAATTGTAGAGTTGGAAGGGACTCTGAGGAACATCTAGGCGAACCCCCTGCAAGGCAGAAATTTGCTGTCCCATACTGGAATCAAACTTGCAACCTTGGCATCATCAGCACCATGCTCAAACCAACCGAGCTATCCAGATTCGGAGGTTTGCTTCTGATTATCAGTTGCTGGGAACCACAGGAGGGGAGAGTGCTCTTATACTTGGGTCCTGCTTGTGGGTTTCCCATGGACATCAGGGTGACCACTGTGAGAACAGGATGCTGGGCTAGATGAGCACTTGCCTGACCCACCAGGATCATCTTACATTCCACAAGTGGATTCGGAATGGACACAACAGAAGACATAAGGATTTCATAGAAAGTTTGATATTGGGAGCAACTACTCCAAAAGGAATGCCAGATCTGTAAGGCAAACAAACAGAACCCATAATACTAGTAGCTGAAATAATAATAATAATAATAATAATAATAATAATAATAATAATAATGTATAATTGTTAATAATCTTCACAGTGAGCTGCTGCCAGTACAGTTGTAGGGCATGGCAGTTTCAAAGAAGGCAGGAGATGCCTGCCAGTCTTTGGGTCCCATGCAATAAATAGTCTTGCTATGTAGGTTGTATTCTTTGCAGGAACCTATTGAATTAAAATAATGGTGTTTCTTTCCATATGCAAAATAATCTAAGCTTTTGAACTGCATGTCTTGATATGACCAGTGTCAGGCACTGATAGCTTGAACAGCCCCATGATGTTTCTAAGCGCCTTATGTTTTTAGCTTCTGCGCCAGTGTCTAGTGTTAGGAGCTAGGAGGGCCTTATGGTACTGTACATATATTCCGGAACTTCCTTTCACCTCTTTGACCTCCTCAAAATCATCACCTCCTCTCCTTTCTGCATACTCACTGTCATTCAGAAGAACCCCCCCCCTGCCCTTGTTGGGTTGGAGAGCCTGTGGCCCTCCCGGTGTTTCTGGATTAAAACTTCCCTCATCCCTGACCATTGGCCAGGCTGGCTGCGGTTGATGAGATGGGTGTTGAAGTCACACAACATCTGGAGAGCCCCCCTTGCACTAACCTCATGCTTCGAATCTGCATATCCTCTTGTCACAGCAGACAACAGGGAATATGCTTGTAGTATCCCTGCTCCCTTTCTAAAGAGGGCTGTCTGAGACCTCGAATCTCCATTATACACTGCTGAAGGCTGAAATCCATATGGTGTGGACTGTGCTCATTTCCTCTGTAACAGCCCATCTTCTACACATTTCAAAGACAAGGCTTTTGATTGTTAAAGATGTGCTGCTGTGGCGGGTGGGAAGGAATCATCATCTGTTATTGAAACAGGGCTGTTATATGTGAACAGCCCCAGCGGGAACTGTTGCTAAGACCATTGTTTGTTTAATTCATTTCAATCCATTTGAATGCCTTGCTTGTTTTTACCTAGGCATTTGGTTAAATTGGAATTATTAATATTTGTGATTATAGTTTTGCTCATTTACCTCATGACAGAATTGCTAAGCTGTTGTTTATTGGAACCTTTTTATATGATTTTGTATTCTTTGTATATTGCTTTTCTCTGTTTAATTTGTCTTACTCTGGGATTGAAAGCATTCTTTGAAGAGTGGGCTATAAATACTGTAAATGAATAAAAATTATTAAATAAAACAAATTCATTCAGCGCATGAAATTGCAGGCAATGCACTCCATCATCCTTGCTCAACCTGGTACCCTCCTGATGTTTTGGGTTAGCACTCTTATCAGCTCAGGTGAGCACAGCTGTGCTGGTAGGAGCTAATACAGTCCAAAATATCTGGAGGGCAGCAGGTTGTGGACTATATAGAGCCTTAACATTCCTGTATGTGCATAAAACACAAGATTCATCCATCTCCCAGCTCAGAGATTTAATTACTTGAGTCCTCGAGCAGGG